GGGGGGCGGGGGGTTCCACCAGCCGCCACAGGCTGACTTCTGAACAGGTTAAACTTCATTGTTGCAAAAGACTAGGTGGAGCGTCCCTGAAACACAGAGAGAGAGAGACAACAGGAGAGAAAACCATCAATTTAATGTGGACGCATCATAAGCTACATGTAGCATGATTGAGAGTTTTAGAATGAAACTTTAACGAGATGATACGAAATTGGCTTCAATTTAAGGACCTGTGTCTGACGAAGGCCCAAGTGATGTCAGATAATTCAAAGAATTTCTACATTGTAAAGAAAAAATACTATAATAATATTATATATAATATTATAAATACAGCTGGACAGACCTACTCTATTCAGTTAAGATCTACAGTATATGAAGAGTATATTTTGCATGCCGATGTGTCCTTAACCAGGACATATAATTCTAAACTCATATTATTGCATATATTTTTAATTTATTATTATTTATATTGAAGATATTGAACTGAGTGACAAAGTCTAGCATTACATAATGCTCAGGAGACATTTATGTTTGTTTCACAAAATTTCTATCACAACTAAAAAGCCTTAGAAAATATTAGGGAGAGATATTAATCATAATATTGATCACATGATCACATGATCACATGATCCACCTCCACTTACAAAGCTTCCACGTAAACCTAAACCAAATATTTATTATAGGCCGCCTTCCAGTGGACTCACCATCCGCAGGAAGGTTCAGAGTACGGTACTGTGTGATTTGGGTGGCGACTGCTGCCCCCGCCACCCGGTAACGGATATTCAGACGAAAATGGATGGATGGATGGATATTATAGGCTATAAATTGGCAGTTCTCAAACTGGGGGTTACATCTCTCCTACAGGTAAAACACTAATGCAGGAAGGAATGGAGCAAAGCAAATGCATTTTGATTTCAATATTGTCCATTTGTAGAAAGAATTTACTGATTTTAAATAATAAATAATGTGTTTCCAGTAAAGTTCGCTTGACAATATTCCTATCTACAAATAGGGGCGCTGCAGTAACAATTAGGAAACTACTGCATGGACTGTTAGAAAATTGTATTTTATTACTGTATTTGCGGTCATATACCGTTGTCATTCTCATTCTCGTTGTTGAGATCATTCTCGCTGCAGTGTGATTTTCTCAGTCTGGCTGATTCCCTCCTCCCACCAGCTCCACATCAGGCCAGAAACTGGCACCATGACAAATGTTCACGACTTCTGCGGCTTTAATGAGTCTGAGTTTGTTTGGTTTTATTCCTGGGAGAACAATTTGTGTTTTGAAAGGAAGGTTATGAAATTAAAGTTGCAGCTGGAAAAATGTTCTCTCCTGTTAGCATCTCCTACATCATGAAGGTGAACACCAGCACGTGCCTCTACACGTACCTTTCTTTCAGACATTTATTTCCTAAAGGGTTCCAAATGACAGGAAGTTGATGTCAAGCCTTGATTTTTTTTAAATGTATGCACAGCTCGTTCATACTAGGGACAGTCAGAATGTTCTAATTTCTGAACTCTCTTCTGATTGGCTAATATTTCCCATCAAGGATTTTTTTTTCACATAATGTGCTGAAGCTGATTCCTTTAAATTTACAACATGACATACTGAAATGGGCCAAGTAGTAAAGAAGTGGTTAATGCTATCGCCTAACAGCTTAAATGTGATTGGTTTGAGTCCTGGTGAAAACTGATCATTTGTCTGAATGGAATTTTAATATTTCTACTTTACTATAACTATAACTACAAACAGACCATGAGGTGTGAATGGATTTATATTTCTGTAAATGTCTATGAATGGACTGGATAATTGGGACCCCGCCCGTATCACATGACAGCTGTGATTGACTACTGGTCACCTGGATCCTAGAAAGCTTAAATTAGTATGAGAATAATTTAAGATGAAAATAAGAAAAAATACTAATATCTGGATCCTTGTACTCACTTAGTTTCATTACAACTGATGATTGATAAAGGAACGTAGACTGGCCTAAAAAGAAGTGATCACTTAGTATAAATGTGTGTGAAGTGTATGTATGTCACTCTCTACTGTACTTCAAATAAAGATATTATCTTAGCCTATATACTATTTAAGCCAACAAATAAAAACAGAGTTTGTCAGATTCTATTGGATCAGTGTGTGTGTGTGTGTGTGTGTGTGATGACAGCAACCAGACCCGACCGACTTCTAATACAGCCTTGATAAAACATCCATTGACCTGCAGGCAGCAGATCGATAGGTATTTCATTCACAGCAGTATTCGAGTCCTTCTCTTCCGTCTCATACCCAGGAATCCTGCACACCTGCTGCGCACAACCACTACAGCGGGGGCCCATGTGCTGCGGGCCAGCAGCAGATTTCTGTTGCTAAGCAATCCTGATAGTGTCTATCAGCCATCCAGAGCTGCCCACAAACCTGCCTATAGCCAAGGTGACCAGCCAATCAAACAGCAAACGGCATCAAGGCTGCCGTCAAGTCATTTTCTCAGCCCTACGAACCAGCAGCAACTCCTGCTGCTGCTGCCAGCTGCTCTGCTCTGATGCATGTGACTGTGATTAAAGTTTCTGCTGCTGCTGCACCAGCCGTCCCTCCCTCTATTAAAAAAAAAAAAAAAAAAAAAAAAAAAAACTTGTTTCATTTTGAGAAGAAAGCATCAGTAAAGAATCAGAGCAGCAGCAGCTGAAACGATGCACACTGACAACTGGACTCTAACTTTGCATCAGCTGTCAGACTAAATAAGAACGCTGTATTTTATCTCTGATCTTCCAGCCTTTATCTGCCTTTCTGCAGCTCATCACTGACCAGTCTCACTCACAGCCAAAGACAAAATTCAAAATTCAAAATTAAAAAAAGCCTCAGTCACATCCTCATGCACAAGATTCTGGCAGAAAAGAGAGAAAAAGAGTTGATCACTCAGTTCAGTTTGAAAATGCAGCACAGATAACGACAGAACAGACGTGATCTGACGACATGCATGTCACACAGCTGCACGTCGGCCGCTAACATGTGCAGAGCAGGAGCTCACCAGTCAGGAGTGATGTTCCTCTTTAGGAGATAGAGCTTCCAACATCCATAACTGAGTGACACGGCTGCTCAGTCAGTGCTGCGCTCACAGACTCCGATCTTTCCCATAAGCAGAGACTGCAGTCTCCTCTCACTTCTCTCCACTGCAGCACTACACTCCCCCTCCTCCTCATCCTCTTCCTCCTCCTTCTTCTCCTCCTCCTCCTACTCAATGCACACCATCTCCCCCATTTTTCGCCCTCCCCTGTCACATACCCTCCCTCAGTGTGAATGCATGCAGCCTCTCAACCTATTTCTCTCAAAACACCTCCTCTCCTGCTCCCCCCTCTCCTCCCACCACTGCCTCATTTATGATGCTGCTCACACAACTGATTGCAGTATGACACTCTATGTTCGAACATTGTGGAGCAGTAGCAAAATATGTGGTCAAGGTTTTGGGGGTCAGGGCTGGGAGGGTGTACAGATGCAGCTCAGTGATGCAGAGACAGACGAGAAAGTCTTTACGACAGCAGCTCCACAAATGAGACGTGGTGCACAGATGAAGCCACTGATTGGACCAAACACCAACCATTGATCTCAGCTGATCCATACTGTGTGCTACAGAGGGAAAGGCCTCACTTCCTTAAACCGTCGGCAGCTGAACGACTGAACCCGGGGACGATGAAGTGAAGTTATCAGCTCTCCACTCCTCTCTCACTCTGGGGACCCATCACTGATAATTACAAAGCCTCTCGCCCAGTTAAAACTCAGAGAATTCATCACAACCACACAGCAGAGAGCCCAAACCACGGCATGTATGAAACAACGGCCATGTGGCCAAGAAATCAATGCAGACGCAGAGATGTGTGAACGAAGCCGGGGTGTAAAACTCTATGAGGCAGAACTGAAGCTTGGCCTTTGCACTAATTCTCCCATTTTATCCCAT